GTATAATTACTAGTGAAAAGTGTGGTGAAATTTCAAGAAACACTCATAAAATTCTGCGAAGTGCCGTGTTGTCCCACGATTACATGATTTTCAGGATAAACTTTAAGAGAAAATTCTCCCCGTGTATATAAAGCTCGTTTCGAGCTTAACGTGATACTTTGAGCGAACATATCACAGTCGTAGATCAAAGTTTGCGAGGGATCATGTTTTCCTGCGACTCGACGAATGTCCCTTCGAATTTCCGTGCTCGTAAAAGCCTCCATTTTTGAAGAGCTCTCGACGTCGCCGTCTCGTTCGCGGAAGCTACAGAAATGAGGGTCGAGGGGGAGGAGTGCGATACCTCGACGGAGGGATATGCTTTCGATATTCGCAGACTGTCGGTACACGTCACACGCCGGCATACAGCACCGACAGATTCGCGGCAAATCTCGGAAAACGACCGACAGCTGTGACGAATATCTCGCTGTCGCGGTTTTTCGCGCCGCATCCGGAAACTTTTTCCTCCCGTAAGCTCGTACCACCGTCGCGTACGCGCCCGCGAATCGATACAGACGAGAAGTGAATTCGAAATTCGCCGTAAACAAAGCATGCGATATTTTTATGTTGAAGGTTCGAAAGTAGTTTGGAATCTGCGATTTCAATAATCAATGCGTGTGACAAATTGATTTTGCGCGTTAATAAACTTGAAAAATACGCACATATTACTTGATCTTTGCGTGCGAGTCTCCAAAAATTTCAGTTTTATCAAATACCAAACATCCTCTGATAATAAAGTATAATGCATCTCGTTAAAGCGATATCACTTTCATAAAAATATGCTTTAATTTTTGCGCGAAATATTTTAATTACAATAGCTTGTAGAGAAACATAGAAAATGGAGATTAATATTCATATAATATTAACGATTTTAAAGTCAAATAACATTGCAGAAAATTCTCAAATATACAAGTTTCTTTTTATCTCCGTACGGTTTTTTATCGCGTGTCTTAATACCGATTCGCAAATTTAACGCACGTCTCACTACGAGCGGCACGCGAACCGCGAATGTTCTAAGCTACTGCACAATCTCCGATAGAATTGAAAATATTCTCATAAAAACACGTATGCCTGTTTAACTTTAATTAATTAATAACGAATTTCAACTGTGGTCAGATTTTACGCAGAATGGGAAACCCAACTTGATTCCTTCGGTAAAAGAAAACAAAACAACTTTTACGATGAGTCACTAATGTTCTTTGTATTCCGAGATAAATCGTTTATTAGTTTCAATCAGTTCTTAAGTCACTTGCTTGAAAGAGATCACTTTCTCATACATAAACGGAGACGAATACCGCGAGAATGAACATAAAACGGGACTCTTAATTATCCACAGTGTTTCATCAATTCTCCGCAGTTCAGCGTCGCTTCGGCACTTGCCATCGGGTTCGACAGCTTGATAACAAACGATACGACGCAAGAAATGGAACGTCCGGAAGGGACGAAGAACGACAGTAGGATATCCGAGACCCTTTCGTTCTTAACGCACGCCATCATTTATCCCCGCGGAAGTTTTCTCCGCGCGAAGAATTACATAGGGTGAGGAAAAAGCGATTCCTCTTGTTTTATTGTATGCATTATATTCCCCCCACAACACTTTTATTTGAAACTCTACTCGATTCAAAAAGTGTTTGGCGTTCGATGCATTTGGAAATACTTTTCCTCCCTTTGTACAAGAAACATTTTGTACGTCGCGTACACAGAATTCGTATTCTCCGCTGTGCATATTGCATTCTATTTCGGAGCAGCAAGAAATTAATTCCACAAAGAAAAATGTCATCTCGCGAGAGTGCTCGTC